AGAGAGAGAGAGAGAGAGAGAGAGAGAGAGAGAGAGAGAGAGAGAGAGAGAGAGAGAGAGAGAGATTTATGATGTTACAATCACATTACGGGGGTCTTTTTCCAGTTTCTCAATGAATGTGCCACGGATGACTTTCTCTGTGATGTTGCCTGTGTTTATGTTCTATTGTTTTTTTTTTCTTTTGCAGACTCTGTGTAGAATGTAAAAACCTAATTGATCATCATGAACAGATTCAAGCTCTGAGCTGTGCTCGGAACAATCTCAACACGACCATAAGGGTAAGCCTTCCTTTCCTGTCCCACTTTTGTCGTGCACAACAGGAATTCTGCATTCTTTCTGTTCTGTTTTCTGAGATGCTATGTCCATCAAACTGCTATGTCTATTGGTGATGTGTCAGCTGCTGGGTCTGAGCCCAAGTGGCAATGTTTTCTTGATCTCTACAAATGTGCGGTCAGGATGTATCTCTTATGGTGATACTTACCATGACATGCTGTCATCGACCACGACGATGATGCTGGTGAATGCTGATGATGGTTGATGTAGTGGAACTCTGGGAAGCAGAAGAAGAAGAAGAAGAAGAAGAAGAAGAAGAAGAAGAAGAAGAAGAAGAGGAAGAAGAAAAAGAAGAAGACGAAGAAGAATTGGAATATCAAGGCCAAATGATAACAACAGTCCATGCATTACAAAGTTGTGTACTACAGCTCCAACATAGATATAACAAAGCTCAACGCGTACGCTCTCTGACGCACGTTTCGGCGGGATGCACACTCACACTCACACGCACACACACACACACACACACACACACACACACACACACACACACACACACACACACACGCGCGCGCGCGCGCGCGCACTAAACGGTTTTGCACAACCATGTTTTTTTTTTGCCAGTTGTGTATGGCAAACATGACAACACACACACACACACACGTCAACAACATAGTTATGGAGTGCACTTTGTTTTCCATATGACTTTTGTAGTAGTGCAGTGGTTGTAGTTTTTCCAACTGGTTCTTCAGGAAGTACGTTGGATGTGTCGAGAAGACTGAAAGTGATTGGTTTGGGTTGCTACGCAACGCGAGCATGACTACCAGGGTGTGATGGTCCAATGTGCTTTGTGCAATGTTTTTCAAAGCTTTTTGGGTAAAGCTTAGGGTGCCCTTCCTGCGATGCGTTCAAATTATCTGCATAGACTTGCATCTGTGTCAGCAAAGGCATCAATTACAGCCTCAGAAAAGTCATGTTAGGGACCTTAAGCGCTCTCAATTGAACATGCAATGCCCCCCCTTCCCCTTCCCCCCCT